TGCGCTAAACGCGCATCCGCTAAATTCTTAAGTGAGCGAAACACGCGCAAACCCTTTTAGCTGACCAAGCATCTTTGGTCACGTAGGCCGGCTCAAGCATAGGTTAGATTATAAACCTTAAAGTTAAGTTTTTCAGTTTTTGTAATAAAGCTCAACAGAAGCACATAGTGCTGCTTATAAAAAACGCATTGTTTTATTTTTTATGTTATACAAGATCTCGTGACTCTTGTGTAACTATGTTAGTTATGTGTATACTTTTGTTTTATCGTCTATTTACGTAAAAAATCTACTTTAGATTCTGGTAGAATACTTTTATATCAAGCATTTTTACATAGACTCTTTTTTGAATTTTTAGCCATCGTTACATTATTGTTATTATGTTCCGTTGCAGGTGGCCTGACTATGAAAGAGGAGAGTTGTACGGTACTGACACTATATTATCCGCGCCAAAAGGAACTTACTACATGTCACTCCTTGCCAAGTTTACCTACGGTGCTCCACTCCCTAGGCATCGAGGAACTTGCCACGTAAGTTTCCAATTTATTTACGTAAGAACTTTTCTTCCATAAGAAACAAAAGTAATTGCTCCCCAACTAGGGGAAGCATGGTAACGCACTTTGTCGTAATTTCTCTTTTTTACAGGAATGTTAAAAAACTTGAATTTAATATCACTAAAAAAATCTGTATCGATATACATATATTTAATAAAATTATCAAGATAATGTTATTTATCAAACAAAATAAGTAGTAAAAATTGGACAGTGCCGTGGCTTTGGCCACTCTTAGATGAAATTCCATATCTGCTCGACTAATTTCAACCAAAATTGGCATACAACATTATCATGACATCGCTGGATTACGGTTTCAAAATGCGAAATCTGATTACAACCATGCCTACAATCTGACAATTTTGAAACCGTGTTCCAACGATTCCCATAGAACACAGTCTCTCACTATACAATTTTTAATTCAAGATCATATCGGAGCAATTTCTACCAATTGTGAAGAAATCATTCAAACTCGATACCGAAACTATAACTTCACTCTGAATAAGAGGATCTCGGTATCTATCGCTAATATTATACCGAAACTTCAATCAATCTACGGACCAACATATCCCTTAGCCTACACTTAAATCTTTCTCACACTAATTGGTGATGAAATTGGGTAAAATCAGTCAACAAATACCATCCCACAATATACTGCATTCAATTTAATGTAGATACATCAGATATACATCGAAATTCTATTAAAACAGTCACTCTTATGTCAATGTATGTTTTGAATTATATTATAACGGGTCATTCAAGTTGATATACTTCTTTCAGCTGTTTTGACAGATCACTCGTGAGTCGTGTCAAGCTGTCATATTGTGTTTGTTCAGTATTGTTGGCATTTTATAATGGAAACACTGACCTTACCTGAATAACATTTACAAATCGTTTAATTTAATTACAAAAATTCACGTTCTCTTCAGAACGTGCACTTCACTCAACTTCTGGTCAACATAATCGGCCTACTGAGCAACACCATCACCCATTTTGAGACCCAGCATTCACTATTGGATACCAATTCGCAGAAACTTGAATTGACATATGGAACTACTACCCATTTTACGTTGAGATCTTAAAATGAAAGCATACAAAATACAGTTTGTACAGTAGCTGAAGCCGTACAAACTTCGCAAGCGAAACTCTTAGCTCTATGGGCTCTTGAAAAGTTCAAAAAAGATCCGACGTTTTCGAACAAAATTTTGTTCAGCGATGAGGCCTATTTTTGGTTCAATGGGTGTCAAAATTGCCGCATTTGGGACGTAGAGCAACCTGAAAAGGTTCAAGAGCTTCCATTTCATGCAGAAAAACAACGGTTTTTGCGTGGTTTGTGGGTCGGTGGATTCATCAGTTCATATTTCTTCAAAAATGACGCACCGACTCTTTGATGTCTGAAGTTGAAGCTCGTGTCCTCGGCATCATTTGGTTTCAGCAAGATAGCGCCACTTCTCACGCATTAATCAATGGATTTATTGAGAGAACATTTCGGAGAGCAGATAATATCAAGTTATATGCCGGTCGATTGACCACCAAGCTCGTGTGATATCACACCGTTAAACTTTTCATGTGGGGATTTGTAAAGATTAAAGTATCTGCGGACAATCCCGCTTCGATTCAAGCCTTATAACAAAACAACGCACGTTTCATTCGCCAGTTACCAATCAAAATGCTTGAACTAGTTATCGAAAATTCAACTCAACGGATGGACCATCTGAGACGTAGCCGAGGCCAACATTTGAAAGAAATAATATTTAGAAAATAAATTCCAAGGAATGTTCTTTCGAATGGTAATAAACATTCCCCATTAAATTTGAATTTTCTTAGTTTTTTCTTTAAAAAAGGAGTAATGTCGAAATGGATCATGTTTTATATAGATTTTCGAACTTCCAGTTGACTTTATACCACAAAAATTGGTCAATGTACCAGTCATTTTAATGAATTTAAGAGAGCTTGTTTCTAATAATATAGAGTGTAGTTTTGTAATTTTATATTTTAGCTTGATCGACATCCGATACGCACGCCTAACTAGTACAGTGCTACAGTGGTTTTAAAATCAACTAGGCATTTAAAATGGCCAGAACTAATTCCAAACCTCAATCCAATAAAAAATGTGTGATTTTTTATGAAGAGGAGTCTTTGATAACACGATTATCATACACACGTGCATACCAAAACGAATAAATAGTGTTCCAAAAATAAAAGACGTTTGATCAAAATATTATATTATAACATTAATATTAATTATCCAGCATTACTGTGTAGTGAGGCCAAGGTGCATAACGGGGCAAAAATATTAAGGCTTCTTAATTTAAATATAATTATTACTGTTTAGTAAATGCTTTCCCTTATGAAGTATATTACGTGTAAATTTTTTCTGCGAAATCAAATCTCTTTTGCCGAAACGTTCAGAGGTTTGACGACGAAGGACCACCACCAACATCAACTGATGATCAACACAGCAATAAAATATAGGAATTGGTGCTTGAGAATCGACGATTGAGATTCAGGGATCTTATTGACATCGTTGGAATAACAGAAGAACTTTTTTGATGGATCATTTGGGCCTAAGAAAAACGAAAATCACTCAATTCCGGAAATCGAATTTAACAACTGTTTTTAATTGGATTAGAAACAAGTTGTTACAAGTGCATTGGAAATATTTTAAAATTATGAACAAAGTCTTACTATTTTTTGCTCATAGCAGTAGTATGTTCTATATTGACAAACATCCGACCGGTATTGCTTTCCACAGTATACGAACAGTAATATTAATTACTACTGCTAAAAAGAGTAGATTTACATACATAGGTAAGATAATGAAATTTCTTCACAGATCTCAGTGTTGAGTTTATACAGGTCCTTGGCAAAATTTAATGCACATACGTATGCTATGTATACATCGTATTTCAGTCTATAAAAGTGTACAAGCGATAAAATTGCAGTGGTGAAAGCAGACGTCTGCTGTAGAACCGTTACTCATAATCGGCGCTAGTACCACCAATGATACGGCAAAAATAAATTTATTTTCAAAGTGCATTACAGGAGTTGCTCTTCAAACGAATGCAAATGCTCAAAGGAAGGATGCGCTTCATTATTGTGAGATTTCCAATGGCATGTTGGGTGTCGCTTGCGGGCCAAAACAATGATTAAACAAGCTGTCGTTCGTAAAATTATTCCAATTATTGCATTCACCAATCAACTTTGCCACCGCGAAACGGGTGGATTGCTCTGGACGCCATACAGAATTGCTAGTTCGCTAGCTCTACTCCACGTCACGTTAGCTCATTTATATACACATATGTATATTAAATAATATGTATTTAACATACATACACACACACACAAGTACATTTTTATTTATCGTTCGCCCATTTGTTTGCGTTCATTTTTGTTAGCGTGGAGTCGCACACATACTATAGATTTGGTATGCATTTGATAAAGCGCATTTGGATCAATCTGCGGCTGCAATATTTTACTGCTTCGCACCGCAGCAAACCGCGCGGTCTCAGCCGGATGCCGCCCAAAAAGGGCAGAGCGCGTAAAGGGTGTCCAGCTTTGAGTGTTGGATGGTCAATAGCACACTCTCCTAAAAATCAAAAGCATCACAACTACCACCTTCCACTTGACAGCAGCGACTATTGCGAGTACTTCCCAATTTCACAGCATACTCGCATACGAACAAACACTTTGTTTACTATTATTTATTTTTGTTGTTTCCGCTTCACGGTTGCGGCACAAATTGTGAGAAGGGAATCATAAATTAATTAAAAGAGATTTGTATGCGGCTTTCGAAGGATTTTAGCGACGGCCGCACTCTGTTCATACTCACGCTTTCGCAGACTCACGATGGATGATTGAAACTTGAGGGCGACAAATGGTAGAGAAGTTTGTAATGAAACCGGGATCTTACCGCACCCATCGACTTATACAAAATTAATTATCCTAATTGTGTGGGCGATGAAAGAAATGCTCGGTCGGGTTTTCGCTTTTGGCTACATGTGTAGATAGCTACCGGTGGAAAATTGGCTGCCGTTGACAGTTGGCTCACATAAAGCAGAACGAAATGACAAGGTTAAAATCAGATATAACTGTACTCACAATTAAAGTGAATACACATAAAATGACATGAAAAGCTGGGCCATGCTCGCGTAAATTATTATTATTTTTTAATTTAAATAAATTTTTCTAATAATTGATACAGAAAGCGACCTGTATTGTTACAATATGTTTTGAAAATATCAGCTGTGGTGGTCCTTAAATCTTTTGCGAACATGGCATAATGGCATATTATAGCCCTTTACATTCGGTAATTATTAAATGTAAATAACGAGTATCAATGTTTTCGGGCGTTTTCTTTCTTATTGAGAATGCAAAATAATAGAGTAAACTAAAGTGAAGCGACAAATATAGAATTTATCTGAAGTGTTTTTTTTTTTTTTTTTTTGTTCTAATTACTCCGGAAACAACCGCACACTTTTTCAAACTTCAAAGTTTCCAGTAGCGGAGGTCAGAGAAATTAAATCCAATACACATGCTACGGATTTTTAGAGTTTACGTGTAAACTTTGGTTTTTATGTGGTTACGAGGTTTGTTACAAAAGTATGGCGAAATGTATTCCGTTAGAAAGTGTTTATTTATTCATGAATACCTATTTCGTCCCCATGAAAGCTAACGCTCCCAGATATATTGTTCTTTTACCAACGTTTTTTTTCCAATCTACAAAGCTCTAAAATTGTATTTGCACAAATCACAAAGGACCAGGTATGAGAATACGATATCTCTAAGGTAGATTCACCATATGCCACAGTCAACATTCGGAATGCATCCATACACTTAATTTTATTTTTCACACAAAATATTGTACAGTTTTTTTGATCCAATATTTTTTTTGGAATAATTAAAACTTGAAGACGATCCAAAACGCGTCCAAACAAAACAGCTGTCAAAAAATAATTAAACATTCAAAATAGCCAAATAATCAAAAATCGAAAATCGAATACACGCAGTCCGCTAAAATTCAAAATCGCGATACCTTTTGTACAAACCTCGTGTGTATTGGCATAACATTACAAGGAGTTAAAACTTATAACAACAAAAAAAGGAAAGGCTAACTTCGGGTATGACCGACCGAACACATTTTAAAACCCCACAATTTCAAAACTACCAAGTCAGGTATAGGCAAAACTTTACTTAACAGAAAAAACACTTTAACTTCGGTTATTACGCAGCTAGAATACCCTTTACAGATAAGGAAGTTTCATACATGAACTTAGTTTGTATTTTAGCTCTAGTAGTTCGATACCGTCGGTTCCGACAATTTATGAGTTTCTTGGGGAGAAAATAACATTTATGTGCAAACTTTTTGACCTATATTTCAAGCACTGTAGGACTGGTGTGCTGATCATTTACATATATGAATACTTTATAGGTTATCCCATGTTTCTTTCTGGGAGTTACAAACTTCGTGGCAAACTTAATGCACCCTGTTTAAGTCATAAAATTAACATTACATTGGCGAAATAATCACTTAGTCCAATATATTTTTATATATTTGATCTAACTTACACAAATCTCTACATGCATCACATAACTGATTTGGGCGGGTACGGGCCGACATTCATGGCTTGTTTTTCCAATATCACGCTTAATTTTATTGAGATATGTATATGAAATATAATCCAAAAAAGGGAGACCCCACAATCGCCGCCAATGCCGTTCGATAAGCCTCCTCAACAGCGCATATAAGGATCCATCAACCGTATTATGTGAAAGTTTAAAGCCGCCGTCAACCAACTGATTGGTGTGGTTTTAAGCCTGGATAATCAGCAACGGGCCAGATATTCACCATGCGCCACATCTGGGAAAAGACCCGGGAAAAGAGAATCGACACACCCCACCTCTTCGTCAATCCAAAGCTGCTTTTGACAGCACGTAAAGGAGCTGCCTTTATTATTTGCCATTTTGAATGTAGTTATTTAATTGATTTTTACAACTTTTCCATATCCATAATTGTAAAGTTGTTTGACTTTGACTTGCTAATATTTGATACCAGTTAAGACTATGTATTATTACGAGTACAAAGTTGATATTGAATTTATAAATTCATTTGGCGGTTAGCACTACTCATTCCAAATGTCTGTTAAAAAGTTTTACACGATTTTTAAGCCAATCTTCTACAATAACGTCTAAAAAAGGAATTAAAAAGATTTGAAAGCACTATCAGATTATTTTATTTGTGTAATGTTTTACCATGTTATAAAAAAGATGCTGCTATTCGCTAATAAAAACAAATATTATAAGTTATGAATTAAGCAAATACATTGATTGAAAGATAATATTTTATAATGTTGATTGATATTTCAGTGATTCGAATCCTGTGCTGATTTCTTCACCCCCGGAATTGGCTGGCATGACGCTGGAGGCACGATTAATATCTTACGACTGGCAAAATCAGTTCGATGAGTTTCAAGAGGCAACTAGAAGTGGATCTTTTAAACCACTTTGTTGGGGCGCAAAAAATCATGTCATTCCGGTAAGTATATATATACAGCTATATAAGTCTTACGAATTCGTTTATATATTTTATTCTTGAGAAATATGTAGCTCCGAAGTTCACATATTCTTTCATATCACTAAAAAAGTTTTTGGAAAGATTAAAAGTTTATTGAGTTAAGTACCAACTATCAATATCCAGTTTTCCAGGCAATGCCCCACATGCCTTTGAGCCTCCAAAATGGTAAGATTAGCTAACGTTCAGCAGCCCCCGATATAAATCGTTCCTTACTTTTTATTTGCTTTGATTCGATTATTTGTTTTTGCTACAATTTGATCTTTTTAATTTAGTATGTGGTATTGACGACGGAAAGGACAAAATGAGCATCATTATTTCCGTCGACATCCGGCAATTAAAGCAATAATCACACATTGCGCTGTGTCAGAGAATACCTTAAAAGCAGGCAGACGGTTGTTGACCTAGGCCACACAACTGATTGGTATCACTTGTAAGCCCTATGGGCACTATTAACGATGGCCCTTCTAGAAAATGTTGGGAAGTAGGTATGAGGGAGACGTTGGAACACTTTCCTGTTTCGAACCGGCCTTGTCTAGAACTCGGTTTAGATGGAGCTTCGCAGTACAAGGGGCTAGATGAATATCAGAATGAGAAATTAAATATCAATTAACTTCGCAAAAAACGTTGACATCCTAAACTGCATCTGCATTTGCATAAGTGTACGTAGGTTGCCTTTTGTATTTCGGGATTTGGCAACCCTAGTATGGCAATTTGGCAACTCACAACTTAAACGTAAAGCGTGACATACATACTGAAGACGTTTTGACACTCGAGCGCTATTTGTTTTGTTTACAGTAAATTAAAATATTCATCTTGGCCAAAAATGGAATTAAATCACATTTGATTGACATTTTACGATGAAGCTGCATCGAATACCAATGTTTGTCGATAGCATGGTGTATTCAATCGAGGCCGTAGATCACTCCAGGACGAATTTGGTATAGGTCGTCCATAATCAGTTGTTATTCCGGAAACTATTGATGTTGTACGCAAACTGATATTGCAAGATCGTTTGGTAACCTATCGTGAGATTGAGACAACTATCGGCATTAGTGAGACCAGCATATATTCAATGAACATTTGATTTAAAAAAAAAAATGTGTTTATAGTAGGGGAGCCTGGAGTGCTAAATTTGCAGTTCCTGGAGCGTGATGGAGACTTACTAGATTGTCAAGATTATCTTTAAAAAAAAGAAAGTCTAGGTGAATTTTTTCATTTTAGTGGGGAGAAGAGCGGGTAATTAATTTCAAAAATGTAAAAAAGTCACATAAAAATACTCAAGCGCGTCAGTCATTTATGGTATATACGCGCATTGTACTTCTGATAGTTGATATATATTAATCTGACAATCAATTAAAGGCGGAGGGCCGTAATGAGAGGTTAAAAAAAAAAAAGTTACTCGAGCGTGTCAGATTTTCAAAGCGAATGTTAATGAACCTCTAGAAAAGTGTGCCATTTTAATTTCAGACAATTTCAACGTAGCCAAAAGTCATGACTGACCTTGAGATACTCGAGCGCATCAGATTTTTACGCAGAGGGATGAACTTGCTGTCAGAGTCTTCCCAAAAGATATTCTGACAATTATATAGAGGAATATCGTTAATCTGACGATTTAAAAATGGAAGAATTCTATTTGGTTCTTGTTTTTGTTACAGGATGTAATAAAAACAGTGTATACATACATATATAATATAGATTATTGAATAATTTACTAATATGAAAATAGATATAAATATTTAAAAAAACATGACAGTTTTCGTCATTCAAGTCATCGTCGAAGTTGGTTTCCACTTCTTGAGTTCCTTGAACTTCCTCGACATTTTGTATTTCTGTAACCTAGAAAAAATATAAAACTTTACAACTTTTTACTCCTTTTATGACAGTATAGTCTTCAAAAAAATATTTGCCGGCATCAGAAGTTCTCGTACGCTTCTCGCTGTAAACGGAAAAAAATTTAAAACACCACAAACAAACAAAAGTTTCAAGCATCTACTAGCAACAACTACGCTATGGTGATCAGCTGAGATGGCATCATGGCGGCAGACACTAGTATGAGGACGTTGCGAGAGAGTGAGAAACAAACAAAAATGTCAAGCGTCTACTAACAACAACCAGTACGCTTGACCTTTTGTCGACGATTTTACCTGTATCGCCCCATGGAAACTGTCAGATTATAGGATTGTCGTGATTCTGACAGAATTACCTTTAAAATTAAAAAAAAAATCTATCGCGCTCGAGTATTTTAAGGTGATGTTTTTTTTTACAGATTTGTCACCCTGCTATTTCTCTAAATCACCCTCAAACTGTCAGAATATTGAAATATACACTCGTCTTCATGTATTTGATTTACCAGCTCTTAATCTGACGCGCTCGAGTTTCCCGAAGGATCGATTTTTTCTTTAATCTGACGAACTCCCCCAACGCACGCCTCCATCTTAAAGGCTCATACGAGTATTTGGTAGGGCTACATAAAAAGATGCAATGTTTCTCCCCATAAAATTTTCTGACACGTTTTAGTAACTGCAAAAATCCCCTCTTGGGTTCCAATACTATTACTTTGAAACCCTGAAAAAAGTTGTTGTGTTGCAGCATAAAACATTCCTGAAGTAATTTGTCTAGTTAACAGTCCTTGGCCAGATAAAAATCTGGGTCCGTTCCGGTTACTTAGCCCCGACTCTAGTGTGAAAGGTAAAGGGCGGTCGTCTCTTCACCATGGCAATGCGGGCTCTCACACATCGGAGTCATTCACCATAAACTAAGAGGTGAAGGTTTTTCGACACCTGAAGAGGTGGTTGATGGGTTCAGAACACACCTTTGAAGATGCCTCAATAATAGTGGCAAAAGTGATTCGACAATTGGTTCAAACGCAAGCGATAGATCATAATTGGGAATATTTTGAAAAACAATAAAATGGCAACCCTCGTATAGAAACGCCAAATCAAATGTCCTTCTTCCTCATTACACATAATTTGTATATGTATGAGTAAGACGCCCTCTTCCTTCACTCTCTGCTTATTTGCTCCATGTAATCTAGACACAAAGTTACTGACAACATTTTTTAAAGAGATTTACTCGAATTTGCAAATAGAACAGTGGTTAATGTAACCAATGAAAATACTTGCTTCAATAATCTAAAAAAACGTGCAGCATTCGCCACTCACTCCTTTGTATCAAAACAAAAGTATTTTAATTAATGCTGAGATTTACTACATTTCCCTCCATTGTGGAATCCTATTTCTGCTTGTTTTTATTGCAAATCTTGCGCTGCCTTCGTACACTGAATTTTGTTTTTTCTTTGTTTGTGTTGTTGCAGGGCTCAGAGTACCTCGAAGGATACAGCATAAACATAACAAAAACCTTTAAGCAACATCAATACTGTAAACCAAAGCAACGCTCATTTGTCGCCGACAGTGTGGGGCAAACGGATCTTGAGCTGCCAGTGCTTCATGAAATGGACAACAATAACATCATTGAAGGAGCAGCACGAAGCAGCCGCAGTTCAGCAGCCACCGAAACGCAAGGATTAAGCAAAGCCGAAGACTATAGTAGAAGTTTTGTGACAACTTTCTGGTATGCGAGCGCTTTCATTATTATACAGTGGCACAACCGATGGTCCCTAACTAGAAGCGCATTTTAAGCGTTCGCATTCCAATACACTCATCTGTCCAGCCCCGCGACTCTGACGTCATTACGTGTCCTCCACTCTACCCAATCCTCAGATGAATTATGTAGCTGCATGAATTTCTAATTTTGTTACCCTAGTGTGTAGTAAGTTATTGATTAATTTTACAAAAGTTTATTGTCGAATTGTAGACTTACGGAAACCATAAGCGTATTACGGCGTTATTAGTTAAGTACACTCATAACTACATACATACATATATAATATATATACATACATATATACATAAATAAAATAGCGATAATCATACAATACGCTAAAACCATAAGCATTAAAAATCGGTGAGATTTAAATGGAAAGCAATAATTAGTTATCGAATACTTGTTTGTGACTCGATATTATACATTTATACCGTACTCGTATTTAGTGTGTAAAATCGTTACTTTGCATGTAGTATTTTAATATGGTGCAAATATAAATCTAAATAACCAAATACTTTACATTAGTAATGTTACAGTGTGTGAAAAATACTCAAAATTAGATCTAACTAGAAACTACCTATCTTACATTAAGTCGACAACTATTTTGTACGAGTGTATCGCCAGTTAATTAATAAGCTGACCTTCCTAAATCGACAGTGAGCGCAAAATAAAATTATCATTTTAATTAAAATAATTACGAATTCAAAAATTCTTTATAAAATTAATTATTTTGATTATTTACATTTTTAATTAATTAATTTTTCATAAATGTAATTTAATTGCTGTCAAAATATTTCTGAATTTTGTGCTCATTGTCAAGTTTAGTGTATCTTGTTATGAATGGAAATGGTCTGATAGCCACACATATTTATTTTGTTTTAATAAAGTATATAAATTTGGTACAAGATATACCTAATTAAAAGGCTGAACATTTAGCAATAAAGCAGGCTTACACACAGTGCTTTCAGTCCAGTTGTGATTAAATAAATACCTTCATTTTAATTACCCGATTTAGGCTTAATTCTCCCGTCCAAACTTAGTTAAAGATAAGCCTATGAGGTTCCTGATAAAGATCGCAACATACATATGTATTAGTACCGTTGCGGTGCATGCAATCAGCCAACTCCACGCACATGTAAGCTTTTTGTTCCTGGATAAGACCTGTGTTGTCAAAGATAGAATTGGATGTGTATGTTTTGCCATAAAGCAAAATCAATAAGGAATAAATTAATGGCAAAAGTTAGCTGAAAAGATGAATGGAAATGGTAAGCTAGAAAATCTATGTATAGGGTATTTTTTTAGATATGTGGTTTTCAGGAAAATATTAAACGCATATAATTTAATATTATGGATAAAAATTTAACTTTATTATAAAGTGAAAAATTTGCCATTATGTTTTCAAATTTATTTCGGGCAAATATCCGTCGCGGCGGGTTCGATTAAATTCTAGCCGAGAGGCTCAATTTTCGAAAAGTTCTTACAGCGATTTGGGCCGAATATTATTTTCTAAGTCGTCGAAAAATAGTCCAGCGGTACTAAATCGCACGATCTGGAAAGCTACGAAACGGGAGCTCAACGAAATCATGCGGTCATTATTCATTCGTTATGAATGGCAAAGCAAACTGAGTTATTCCAGTAACAGCTGTAAAAAGGAACAACTGCAAAAGTAGTATAGCTTCATTGAAATCCAGACATCTAAAAAAAACTCCCCTATAACTGCAGGCAAAATTTTATGAACTTCTTAACTTCTCCAGTATGAGGGCTTTCTTTAAGAAAATCTGAGAACTTTCACACATTAGATCTTTGAAGAAAGTCTTATATGAATTCCAGTGACAACATTTTGCCAGTAGGTTTGACATTTTATAGCTCGAGTCGGTCAGTTTGCAGAGCATCCATTATTCATCAAATATTTTTCGCAATTCATAAGGATGACATGTTGAATGACATGTTGCGAGACTCTCTCAATTTTCTCGCAAAAGCTTTTCCCGGATTCAGCTCATAACAATGAAGTTCAGAGAATTTTGAAGAGCTGATATACATAATGAGCGGAAAGCCAGCAATTAACCCGCTAAAAGTAACTGACAAAGTTAGTGCGAAATAAAATTTGAAGGAACGATACAGTTAGTAACATTTTATACAACTAAAGTTGTTTCGTTATTCTTTGCAAAATATTTAAAGGTTTCGCATAAAATCATGATATTTTGTTATGAGTTGCTTTGTTTCTTCGTGTTATAAATTTATATAATTTTATATATTATTTTATAAATTATTATAAAAAAAATATGAAAAATTTTAGTTAATTATCTGTGTTCTGATGCAGTATTAGGTATTTATAACATGAAGACATACATATATTGTATTTAGCGTTGTATATGCGTCATATAGGTCCTCCGGAGCACCAAGCAACTAAAACTAGTAGCGAAATTGCAAAACTCTTAAAGGGTATTTTAAAAATAGCCAAACTAATTTTTAAACATTGGCATCATCGAACAGTGTTATAAAATGCTACGTTTTTTGGCTTTCACATTAATCAAAAAGTACCATAAATTCCGTCTCAGTATTTGTTATGAAATTACAACAATTTGCCAAGATTTTTTTGTAGATCCGTCAATGAAAATGTGCGTCAAAGACATGCTTTTGTAATGATACATATCGTCACCTAAATTGCAAAATAATGTATCATAAAAAACCGAAAATGCCTGTCGGATATAATAATCACTATATAACCATTTTATAACCAAAACTCAAATTTGGTTTCAATTTGAGTGGTTCCTTCGCATGTAATGTTTTGAAAAGTGATGTTACGCAATTTTGCATTCTGGGTGACGATATGTGCTATGTATCTTTGCAAAATTTTTCTGATAACATGCACGGTCACTCCATCTTACCGCTTTCCTTTGGAGTTTCAACTGTACATCGGTGTGACCGGCAGCGAAAAATTAAATTATTATCTGTTCTTAAATGACTCGAAAGATTATCGGACAATTGTTGCTTTTTGTCATAAAACATGGCAAAAAGGAAAACCTCATTTGGGGTCAAACGCTTTCTCGCTTTTAGTTGACATTTTATTTAGTCCAAAAATGCTTAGTCTTAAAAGTGAGCTGATTAATAATATTTGGTTTGAGAATAAAAAAACAATTGGACAGAGAGGCCAATCGGACTAAGTGGCCACCAAATCCGACCCAAAGTATTCAATACTAACGCGCATATACCTATTGCAAATAATAATAAATAAAAGCTAATATACTTAGTATGAAAATCATAATAGCAGTAGATATTGTAGTGAGGTGTTTAGTAGTGAAAATAAATGTGAGTATTTTGAGCAAAATATTTATAAATATGAGAAATTATGGGTAATGCAAACATATGTGCATAAATTTATAAATATATTATATATAGTACGTATATACTTAAAATATTGCCGTCATAAAAATACACTTTCACGCAAAACGTAGTATTGTGTGTACATGAAGTAAGGTTAGAAAATTATCGTAATCATTTTTTATACAAAAAACCAAGTATTTGGACAAATAAAATGAAAAAGGAAATAAAAGAATATATTTTAAGAGCGTCATAATGGATATGCGATGAAAACACAAAACAATCAAAACTGTTGAAAAATAAGCATACATATATACATTGGTATATATGTACCATATGTTACATATTAATGATATACATGTCACTACGTACATACAAACTACTTGTTAGTCCTATTGAATCAAACTTGAAATATGTGAACTATGAAGTCGTGCTGCCGAAGAGTAAGCGTACGAGAAACTTAAGACACAAAGAACCTATTAGAAAAACTATATAAGTAAGTTAAAGTGTAGTGTAGCTCACGATGAAAAGCAAAATGCCATATGAATACTTTATATACCTGCAAGTTGATTGAATTTATTAGTTTTATCCCAACTTACAAATATTGTATACTTACTAAAATTTAGCTTGAAAAGCTTAAAGTTTTATGTTCCTTTACTTAACTTCAAATTTATTTAGATATTTCAATTATTGCAGCTTGATGCAGTTTTTGAGTGCAAAAGGTGAGATCTTACAAATGTAGCGTATGTGTAAGAACTACTAGGTGTAAGCATATGGACGCAGAATCGAGCTGAAATATTTTTTATACCACATACAAAAATACTATTTACGATAGAGTATGAATACTAAAATACATATATACATACACTACATGATATGACGTGCAGTAGGTATAATTTGTAAAGTCGTCACACTTTTTTCCACCTCTCAAAGGGATACTAAAACAATCAGTGGCCGATCCACGGGGGGATGTCTCGCTTTGAAGATTTTGATTCATGTTCAGAAGAATTAACGAGGTAACATCAATATTCGAAGATATTCAGAAATTCAATAATATGTTGGAGCGAAAACCCCTCCAAAAAAAGTTCCGAACCGCCACTGGAAACCATGAACTTCGGTTGACAAAGTATTGATTCGTAATTTACTCAAATTTAATGCTGCACAAAATCAAAAAAAAAAAAATATATATATATATATTTATGCAAAAATCTATATTATACCATATAAGTGTTTCAGTGCAGTTTACAGAAAATTATACATCTTTTCTAATAAATTTAAAAACATATTGAATAATTTCGATTTTGACATTACTTACCGATAGCATTATGAACAAATAGCGTACAATTTATTATTTGAAACATAAATTGAAATCGGTAGCATTTCTTTTTTTTCCAATATCCAAACTTAAAGACCTAGATGTAGCCAGAGACATGTAAGTGATTTTATCTTATAAAAGAGACAACATAGCAAAACTTGATAAGGTTTCGACTTGATTTGACAGAAAATAATGGTTGTTTGTGTTTATCCAGCTCCAAATCAAGTTCCTTGCGCTGACCATCACTAATCCTTGGCGATTCATCTAAAATCAAAAAAATTTGTTTAATTATTGATAATCTGGTGCCTGACGAAGCCCTTTTAAATTAACAAAATGGCGGCTTCAGACAAATTTCTCAGCTTTTCGGAAAAAGCCAACAGTTATTTGTTCACAAAAAATTTAAATTAAAAATTAGCGTATACATACATAAATATGTACATATAAACATCAAAATAAATTTCATCGAAATGTACCAAGCGGTTTTCGAGCTACAGTTCAAAAACATAGCTTCCGAGAACCCAATGTCGAATAAATCGAATAGTATTTGTCAGATTGACCTAAAAGTAGTATTTCTAAAATTAGGGTAATATAATTTTCTCGTCTTACCGTCATTGGGTATTGTTTTTAAAAAACTTTGACTTTTGACTTCTCTTTGACGATCAAAGAGTTTCGTATAATGTCATCCTTCTATTTTTTATGAAATTACAACAAATTGGAAAGATTTTTTTGTAGCTTATGTAATGAAGGTTAAGTTATATTAATCTGGTAAGTCAATGAGCGACGCATGAACCAATTTGATCCTTTGCGATATCAGTTGGAGTTAAGTTGCTAGGTCCAAGAGGAGTCATCCTTCAGGATGGCTTGGCACCCAGTAGACTACTGCCCTGCTTCCCAAGACACTTATGGTCGATATGCGATACGAGGTTACTGCCTTGATTGCTACTTGGCTGTCTATGTAAATGTTGACTATGGATTTGGCTCGGCTTTCGTAATATCGAGGACCCCAGCTTGAAATATAGTGGAGTGGTGCGGCATCTCAAGAGGCCCTATGCCTAACTCTGGACAGTATATTCCAGCACCA